GTAAGTACCCCGATAGCAAAATAGATTTGGTACTAAATCAATGGTGCTTGCGTTGATGGGTAATTTTGACTTGCTTGATGATTGCTACAACCCTTATTCATGTTCTGGATCCGAACGGGCGAGAACTTTTCGATTTTTCGATGGAGAATGAATGTACACGGAATCAGCGAAGAACTAGACTATGCTGCATGTACTACCTGAGAATTATCGAAGTAGGTACTTAATTGGGGGTGCTTAACAATTCGTTTTCTTATGTCGGTACAACACTGTAGGCTAAACATATTTTTTAGAATCATATCGCATTCCTTTGAACCGAGGAACTCTATGGTCTGGGCGGTCTACTCTGTAAACTGAAGTAAATTGCAGACACACTCTTACGGGCAATGTAGACTAGTCTAGTGGCCAAACTTCAGTCGCATCGGTCAACAGAAATCAGCGGTGCGGTATGTACCTTTACTATTACTCTGTGACGCACAAAGGTGTAACGATCGAGAAAAAGATCTCATGGACAGCGGCATATACGCAATCCAACGCCGGCGTCGTCGCCTACAACCTAGATATAGGCTAACAGGTGGACGAATGCTGAAGGACACGTCTGCATTCTGAGCCGGCTAAACTGACCGGCCTACATCACAGCAGGAAACAGTATACTAACATTGTTAAATACGTCAGCTAAAGTTATTGAAGATATTTTGGTTTTGCTGCTCGTGGCCCTTTTAATGCAAGGTTCGAAACTCCTCTCCACCAGTGGTAACCTGCGTCGAGACATAGACAAAGTTGTAGAGCGAAAGTACCATCAACTGAATGTACCGTTAGATCATTCGCAAGTCAGTTCCCAAATAAAATGTGTCTTGTCTGCCTGATGCGTTCTTCGCTCGACATACGCATTCCGCCCCGGGGCGTCGACATCTGGTATGGGCGTGTTTGCGCGGGGCGGGGGTGGCGAGCAGGGCTTCGCAGCTAGGCCAAATCGATGTCATTCAGGAGTTGATAGCAGCGGATGCAATCGAACTGAACGCACAGGACGGCAACGGGTGGACCCCTCTCATGCACGCCTGCGCCCGCGGGTGAGTGGGTAGCAGTCGCGGTAGCGGCGACCACTCTTTTAGTGCATGGGCTGAGCAAACCGAAGGATCCTGAAGCTGTCCCAAGCACGGCAAAACTCACAATATGTCGGTTGAAGCTTGTCTATTTGGTTTGTCAAAGCAAACCACAGTCAATGCGTAGCTGCATGCTTCTTGCACTCGCAGGTTGGGTTGCACGTGGCTTGTACGGCGATATCAATTCAGCAAGAAAAACACGTACAACCAAGCGCTTCCTCGCGCCAAATAAGATGGGAGGGGGAGGGGGGATTCCTTGAAGAGCGACGCCCCACGGCTATCTAAGGATGTTCTCAGTATATGAGGTCTTAATCTTGGGAGAGGGTAAAGCTCGTTCAAGGGGTCCGCGGGTAAACGAGTGGTCTAAATAGACTAAATGTGTTAATTAACATGTTGACAGGAAGTAAACGTAGTCCGTGCTCGTCATTGCCAACCGCTAGTGGTTGTTCGGCTTTGTACGAAACAATCAGGCACAGGTCAGTCGTAGGGGCATTGCTGACCGCCGGAGCTAGCGTGGACATCGAGAGTCACGACGGGCGAACCGCTTTGCATCGAGCAGCGACTTGGAAACGACTGGGCCCCCTCGACCAAGTACGTTGCAAATAACAAGCATCGGAGAAAACAATTAATGAGAGCGCGGACGTAAATAAATCCGTACCGAAATCGGGGCTGCGAAAATGGGACTGTTACAATCGCTTAGAAACGACAAAACTGGCGATCCTACGGGCCTGTGGGCGTCATTGTGGAGCCTATCCTCCCCCTTTACACTCCATGCTCTGACTGACTGTTCCGGCCGATCTGAAGCCGATCGTTCAGTAGTCACCCCTATTCATGGCCACTCTGTTGGTTCCAAAACATGCTTGTTTTCTCCCCGCAAACGTACGTAACTGGAGCGCTGACAGCTCGACCAGCGGTACAACGGTAATCGACAAGGTCTCGCACTTGACTATTCCAATCGAAAGAAACCACGAGTAGTGTCCGCCCTTTGTTGCTTGGAACAATTCTTTCTTCAGCTCATCGAAGCTGGTGCAGACGTGCGGCACGCGGCGCGAAACAAGTGGACCCCCCTCCACTGTGCAGCGGCAGCTGGAGATGCACACGCCTGCTCAATTCTGGTGATGGCGGGAGCCGACGTGGACGCACAGGTGCAGGAACTCAAGCACAAAAACGGCGTTTGTGCCATGGGACACTTTCGGGTAGTTATTTTTTCCAGGTTGTATTGCATTTCCAGTTGTCACCCGCGCCTTCTTCATGCTGCGCATGTGACACAGCGTCTGAGTGATTAATTATCACTATCCCCTCGTCTCAGGTGTGAAGTGTTCCTCACATCCCGTAGCGTCAAACCTCACTCCATTCAAACGAACGTACTCGCCCACGCACGCCCGATGGAAGCCAAGTTCAGTGCAGAGAAGATGAGGTCATGGGGCATACAGGGTCTGCCACAGATGAGCCCAAACAGAAATCAATGAAACGAGTGCCTGCCCTTCCATGCTGTCGCGGGCTGCCGACCATCTTCCATCTGTTCTGCTACGTTCTCGCTCATCGATACAAGGACATCTTCGGCCTCAAAGCCGTCGATGTAGTTGCCGATTTTACCACGATAGACCTGGTGAAGAGAGCTCTCACCCAAGCACCACAGGATACCCCCCCGCGATCGTCAAGAGCTTTGTTGACGAGACTTCCGTCGACGCCGTCGTCGGGCTCGAACGCCCCGGTTGCCGCTGCCGCTCCAACCGGAGCTGCTGTCGCTGCTGCTGCAGCCGTTGCTGCCGGAGCGGGCACCCCTATCGGCAAGCGGCCGTACGAATCTTTGGGCGCTGGAGCGGACCTACAGAGTAGCGGGCCGGCAACGGCGGGTGACGGGGCCACCACCGGGCTTGACGTAAGGCGTGGTAGCTGGAGCAGACCGGTGGGGCTCCAGCCTCTTGCAGGGGGGACCAACCGCAGTGGTGGTGGCAGCGATAGCTTGCGCAGCTCCGGCCCTGCGAAGCCAAGCAGCGGCACCAACAGACTATCGAGACACCAGGTGGCGGTGGTGGGGTTGGAGGCGCAAACAAGCCCCGAGCTCTTGGGAAATGGCGGAGAAGTCGGCGGTTCGGGAAACGAAAGGAGCGTGGTTGGAGACCCGAGCATTGCAGATAGGAGTACCCCAAGAGACGAGAACGTTAGAGTGTCGTAGGCAGAGCCGGTCTGGGCGGCGCGGGAGACTCCACCACAAACGTATGTATATGGATGGGTTTACTTCGAAAGCACACCCTCCTAACTAAGCGCTTCCCCGAATTGACATGTATTGAAGAAGATGCTGTTCTCGAACCCTCCGTCTCTCCCTCCTTTCGGGTTGCAACTTGAGAGAGTAGGCATAGCAATATCGTACCCTTGAACGGCTAGTTAATCGTATAGTCTAGTAGACCCTCGAGTACACGAGGAAGTAGTACTGACCGGATGTGCAGAGGCTGGTTCGCCCTCTTCAAGCGTGATTACTGTGTCCTCAAAACAAATCATCGAGGCACCGCACGTTAACTGTTTGTGGGGGTGCATCGTTTTGAACTGCCGGGGCAATGTTTACGGTCCGAGCAACAATGTGACGGTGTGCGTCGGGAAATCAGCAGAGTAGAGGCGGTATTATCGATGACGATGCAGCCAAACGTACTCAAGCTTGTTCTACAACGCTTGGTCGCCATAATAACCACGCTCACCCGTACCTCCCATGCTTGTGAATAGGTGCCGTGAACAGAGGGTATCATCCTCGACGGACGTTGGAGAGATTGTACGCTGTATGAAGGGGATTTCCACCTTCAACTGAACTGCTACCCACGCTCCAAGGTCGCAGAGGCTTCTGCCTCGTGCACAAGAGGGGCACCGCGATTCAAAGCCCTGGCACTTATCCCAGCGAGCAGTTTGTGTGCATGCCTGTCTATGATTGGGACGGGCGGACGTGGCTCACCACTCCTGTTTGTGAAACCATGATTGTGAGTGTGCCCAATGTTCTGCGGTGACTACCCGGCCGGAGAAAAACCACAGGGACCTCACAACTAACTGGAGGTGGAGCACGCCACAGATGGCGTATATGATCTGGGGATTGGGAAGGGGGTGGTACTTAATTGTTGCTTTCCTAGGTCGACGGATGTGAAGCGCCCGAACTAGAGTTTGGTTCGGCTCCCCGAGAAAGCTTGAGCACCCCGAGGATAATCACAAACGACCGCCGTGCCATGTGCTAGGCGAAAACCGAGCTCTCTCACAAACGCGGCAGTGACGTTCCCTCCGAACAAGAACACAGCGGCGCGTTCCGCGCGCGCGGATCAAGAGAGCTCTAGTGACAAGAGGAGGGCCGTTACTTCATCCGTGGACCACCGGTCGTTACGTTTCCCGTTGCTCGTTTCATTGTCATCACCACGGGAAACGAAACTAATTACTCATCCTTGCCCACAAGTCCCTCCAAAATGGGCTGCGTAGTCAGCTTCCACCCCCGCCCCTTTGTTGCCCTCGGATCACCAACCCCTTTGTCCCTCGTGAACGCCAAGGTGACCCCCACCCGTCTTGTTTTTTCGTTTCCGAGCAAACAACACAACCACCCCGAGGACCGAACACGTTTTTCCATCCTGTTCGGGAGGAATCCTCTCACCACACGCACCAATCCCTGATACCCCAGTCACTCAGCTTGCTACCAAAGTATCTCTGCACCTGCCACACAACTCCCACACACTTCGCCATAGAGCCCCCCCCCCGGCCTCTTTACTACCTGTCACACATACCTTACATCAGTGCCACCCCTTCGCCTTTAAGCCAGCCACCCTCCCTGGTCAGGCCCGTGCCATCACCCCCCCCCCCATCTCCACCGAGGAAACCGATAATTCACAGATAGTCTCGACTGTGCTGCCGTGCACACTTTTCTTAAGAAGTGCGCACATTTCTAAGAAGGACCACTAAACTGCGTATACAGTCGCATCAATGGACTCATCCGTGGTTCTTCTATTTGGAGAAGTACTGGCTAGCAGCGGCATCGGAATGCTGCCGCATAGAAAAGCAACGATACGTTGGCCTCGCCTCCCCTTGGAAGAAATCGATGTCTTTCCAATCTGCCTGCGGGAAGACAAACAATCGACACCCTACGACCGAATGCACCACCATCTTTCCCTCTGACTTTGTACAGCCCACAAGGTGAAAACAAGATTCGCACCCAACCCACACTTTGTTCTTCACGCGCAAATATTGAGTCTTGGCACCCCAAGCAAAGTCGACGCTTTAGTTGTCGTCGTCGCTGTTGTCCTGGCACTAAAACTCGTTCTGACTCTTGTCTCTTTCCAGCTCCTCCCCTTCCATGCTCTTCGAGGTGACAACGAATTCCCACCATCAGAAGCTTAAAGAGAATCCTACCCCCTCAAAACATGGCACTTTCTCAGAGTTACCATTTTTTAGTGCCAGCTCTCATCATGAAAAAATCACAAATTCCGAGTGTCTCCCTCACGGCACCGACAAGAGGAACAATCTACATGGTGTGTCTGAATGAACAAATTTCGCGACAAAGCGACCACTCACGCAAGCATGTACTCCGAGATGACCCCCCGAAGCGGCACTTGGTTGGCCCTGAACGAACCCAAACTGCCACGATTCGGACGTGACCCCCCTGATCTTTGCAGGACACTCAGATAGATCGATCATCACCCACGACTGCAATTTCAAGTTGGTGAGCCTTCTACGTTCTAGTCCGCGATGCTCCGGGACGCATACGGGGAAGGACAATGATTCGGCAGACAACAACTCGCTCAAAGCGTTCTCCGGGAAAAGCCATACCTGGCAAACAACACAGTCCGGGGTACAGAATAATTTCGTCCGAATCCGTTGAGTTGGTGGACACCTACCGGCCCTAAAATCCCCCAGGGACACAAACCTGAGCGCCATCTGGCTTTCAACGCTTTTTGCCCTTCCCTCCATCCTGAAAAATAGCCGAAAACCATCCTGGGTTGGGCTGCAGGATGCGCCCCCCTTGACGAGACCCCTTAAAAGCCGGCCAAAAGACATCGTTAACCCCACGCACTAATCCAATGTGAAACAAGAAAACCCTTTCAAAATCTTGACGGAATCACCGATCTCTCGCCAACCAAAACACCAGAAAATAGCAGTACAAAAAAAGGAGAGGAGCAACATCTTCGCCGGTCCAAACCACCCCGCTTTCGACCCATAGATTTCTGACAGCGTTGCATGTAGCGAGGTGGTTTTGGGAATAGATGCGGCAAGTATCCACCGGGTGGGCTCTACTGCCGCACCCAACGCAAGTCTCCCTAGGCGTTCTCCCTTCTTCTCCGGTGTCCTCAGTGTGTGAAGTTAAAACATGTAGGGTCGATTTGTTTGTGTACTTTCTTCCACCGACCGTGTCCCGACAACGGAACGCTGAAGAGCAACGTCACCGCCTCACCCTTGCGTTGTTACTGCACATGGGGCTCCTTTAAGAGGGGCTACGGCCGAGAACAACAGGGGAATGGACCACTCTTGATTTCGAGTTTGACAACATAAAAAAGCATGCAAATGCAGCGTTCAGCAGGAAATTCTCAACATACCGGGCCGAGAGCGTTCAGGCAACCAACAGCGCGCATGTTTGTATCCTCCAAGTAAAATGGGACGACAACCCTCCTGGCATAATTACCCCCCCCAGCCCCCTTGGTGATGTGCTAGCCTGGTACGTCGAGACCCCGGCGTGCTCCGTGCCGGCTTAGACTAGTAACGATGCGAGGTCCATGGTCTAACGACTACGGCATGCACGACTATGAGTACACCTCCCCCCTCCCTTCCCCTTCCCCCAGCCTGCACAAAGGGCTGGGCGCAGATACGAAGTACCATATTTTCTTCGCTCGCACGTGAAATTGATGTGGGCCGCATCTCTCTACGTAGCTCTACCAACCTTCGTGTGCCCTCAAACTTAAGTGGTGCTTGTGTTGGCTGGTAGCCCGAAACCTATGTAGTCTAGAGCTGTCAAGCGCAGCAAGCACGCGACACCGTATTTACAAAAAAAATCACCCATCATCCACAACCCGCAAAGAAGGCTAGAATAGAAATATGCACGCTTGTTTTCTACCTCACTTGATGTGTACAAAAGAAATACAAGCACCAAGGGCACCGACAACACACCACCATCTGGCAATGCAACCTACAGCGCTACGGCCTCGCCCTTCTCCGAAAAAATCCGTGCTCCTTGGAAAGAAGTATTGCGAGTTTCTGGAAATACTCCGAGCAAGTTACATCAAGTCCAACGTTACCATACTCTGAACCTCGACCACGAGAGAAAGAGGAGAATTTCCTCGCCAAAAGTTTGTCAAGGCTTTGGCAACCATCGCCACCCCCGGGACCTCCAACATACAGGTTCTCAGGGAGGGCAGCTGCTACAGCTGCAGAGAAAACACCAGGAACCTTTGAAATGAAGCGTACAGATCGATATTGAAGGATTCTCTTCCCCACAGCACGTCTACGACCCCCGGCGGCGGGGGACTACTACTGTCGCAACGCTCAACCAACCCGGGAACCGGACCATCACCACTCATTTGACTAACCACACCACTGGCGCATGCCAAGCATGAAATGAATAAGAGTGTCGAAGTCGTGGGTCGTGATCGGGGACAAAAACAGCAAGGACCGGACCTCGTGCCCGCCGTCCGCCGTCACCAGGTAAAGGCGTAAGAAGTGGCTTCCGACGGACTCCGCGAGGAGCAGCGGACAAGACACGGGCCACGGGGAAAGAGCGGCAAAGCCCCCCGGGTTCTCCTGGGCAACAGAAACGCCCACGTCGGAGCACCTCTGAATGACCTCGCTAGGGGGGGCCGCCTGCCCTTGTCCGAACCCGATACACTTGATGCCTTGGACCTGCAGGGATGACGAGCGATCGATCGAGCAGCCAGAATAATAGGGAATTCCCATCCTGAACTGGTGAATCAAGGACGAAAGTGGTCAGGATGGGTGGTTCGTACATGTTTACGTGTCACGTGGCCTAGTCGGGTGTCTGGTACACCTGTATGTACGTATCGGCCCCCACCCAGACGGTGTCTTTACTCCAACGGTCTAAACACCGTACAATAGTTTCGTTGCCCAGCCCTGAAGCCCCCCACGAAAGACAGCGGGCTCTGTCTAGGAAGAGGCAGGATCAGCTTTCAAAGAAGGTATTCGCAATTGGTCACGCAACCCGTGGCGACACCGGGAAAACCTCAATCGGGTGGGCACGTAGGCATGCATGCATTCGTGTAAGGAGTGTTTTTCGATTAAATGGCAAGAATCCGAAGAAAGGGAAAGTATCGTGGGCGGGCGTGACGCTCAAGGAAGAAACCACCCGGGTTGATAAATACACAAGCAGAAACATCTCTCAGCCTCTGCACAACAAAAACAATCGCGATGTCGGGGTCTATTGTAGATCGTCTTGTTGTGTGGTGTTCGACGACCGGTTATGGACGGACCGGAAAGGTTTCCGTTTGATTTTTTTTTGTGCTGCGATAGACTTGGCTTGTTGCGAAATATCTTGATCCTCAAAACATACATCCGGCAGACGTTTTAGACCAACGGCCGAACAGCCAGGTTGTGGATCGAAAAATGAATCCAGTTCGACGAAATGCGGCGGCGGCACAGCCCCTTGTTCTTTGGCAGCGGGCGCGCGGTTGGTTGTGGATCAACGTTTATTGCAAGCTCTTTTGCGTTTGGTTTCAGTTGGTATCCCAACTTTGAGAAACCGCTGTTGTACGGGTACCCTCCGTTACGGTGCAGTATTCTTACGTGCTTGACCAACGTAGGGGACGGTCTTATCGCAGACATGTTCAAATCGAAGAAGTGCTGTGCATGGTACAAACGGCCCAGTGCTTGCATCATCAGTGTCGCCGATCTGTCTGAAACGTTGCTGCTGCTGCTGCTGCTGCTGCTGCTGCTGTTGCTGCTCTTGTGGCTTCTTTCCCTGAAAAAGCAAGTGATGCTTGTCCTTCATACGGTTAGTTTTGATACGTTTCTGTGGGTGGTGCGAATGAAGCAATGAATGATGCCTGTGTGCCCTTCCATGAGGTGTCTGGGCCGAGCGAAATCGATGGGGATACTGGTGCCCCACGCTTGCCCCACGAAAAAAAATACCACATCACCGCCGCCGTCGAAAATTCACATTTATTTTCTCCCTTGCACACGATGATGGAGGTGGAAGTAATATCAGCTGCTATACGCCTCCTTCTGATACTGTTTATCGCTGTAATTATTATTAAAACAACCCGATCCCTCCCGTTGTCGCCCCGGATGCGATCTTTTCATATTATGGTGGAGTGATCTTTTTAGAACTATTACAAAGGTCAAGGTGTTTGTAGTATCAATCAATACCTACCACGTGTTCAAATTTCAGATTCCAACGCGTAAAACTCGTGAGAGAAATCATTTGCAACAATTTCGGCTGGCCTATCTTGTAAGCGCATTTATCATACTCCTCCAAGTACATACGTGTGGGGAAAGGCCTGACAGGCATAACCCCAGCAGCGGCCTAGTACGGGTAGACCGGAGGATAGAAGAGAACCAGGCGACCTGCATACATTTCTAATTTGCTCAAATTTTGTTTTAGGTCGACATCGAGTGCCGAGCGGGAGCTACAACGTGCTCTCTTTCCTTTTGTTGTCTGGATGGGGGGGTTGCATGGGGCCTTCAATGTAGACTATTTCTTTTTCGTTTTTAGGACGCTAGACTCTCGCTCTCTCGCGGTCTTTTGATCTAGACTAGTCTATACCGACCTGCTGCTGTGTACCATCATCCATCGCGTTTGTTTGCTTGAGGTTTTTCGGACATCGTCCGTTCGTTGTTGATCTGTAGCGTTCATAATTTTTCACAAGTTTGTGAACAAACCCTGTGATGACACGGAAGGAAGGCTTCCGCGTCAGTCGGGCCGGCACGGATGAATGTAAGGTACTGAGCAAAGACCGAGAAACAGTTTTTAATTTTGATGTGTGCATGAAGAAGGAGTCACCCAACACCAAACACAGCAAAAAGACACGAACGAACGGCAGGAAATCATATCGACCGGAAGAGAATGGACTCACTCGTCTGTCTGTGGGCAACATGATGATCGATCGTGCTGGGAACATTTTGGTTTCTTGCGCACACTTGCCGTTGGTTGTTAGTCTATTGTCTTCATATTAGACTAGTCGGACGGACGCCTTCCGCGGAATCTGCTGTACGGCAACAAGCGACAGAACCGCAATGGGCACGCTTTCCTACAAAACCACAGACAGGTAGGTCGGGAAGGCCAGAATCATGACAAAACAGTTGAATGAAACAGACCGAGAAACATGCAGATAGATACGATACATAGTCTATGCACCGAGAACAAGACAAAGTCCGAGTTGCACAGAAGGGCATCGAGGTCTGCATAAGGTTTTGGGGTGAGCTGAAAGATCTTTATTCGTCTCTCGTGTGCTTGTCAGCCGGTGTGGAAAATAAAAAAAAAAATGTGCAGGAAAAAAATGCTTGCCACGTAAGTGCTCTCATCATCACACACGCCCCCGACATAAACTTCAGATCATCATTTAGGGCAGCGGGGTGCTCTCACAAAGCGTTGTTATTCAGTGAAGACTCAGAGAGAGCAAGAGAGAGAGAGAAAGAGGTCACAACTCAGAGAGAGAGGTCAGACTGCAGGGGGTCGGCGGCACACAGCAACAGTTAGTTGCTCATAGGGCTGGTACGAAGTCAGAGGTAGAACGTGTTTTGCTGCCTGTACTTTTATTTTCATGCACGTACAACACACCTCGACGACAATGTATCTACTTCTGTGTGGCACAGAAAGAGGCTAGCTTGCATGTACACGATATGAATGAAGGGTCAGTGCCGATTGCCGTCACTACTGTTATGACGGGTGCCTGCCGCACAAGAAAGCTTCTTCACCAGATCTTGGAAGGGGGATCGATCATGCGCCAACCGCTGAAATCCACTCATGTTGTTGTGGTTTTTTTCCCAGATGTCACTGGTGATCGATGATTGCCATGCGCAGGGGTAATCCGTCGACAATGAACGAAGAGAGTGTACAGCACGCGATGCGTGGCGTGGCGACGAAGGGATCCGTACAATGAATAAATCGTTGACACGCGTGCGGTTCTTCGCTGGGTGTCGGGTGTCCGCCATTTCCCCTCGTAGTGTTTGTCCTCTTCACCTGTACGTCCAGCTCCCACAGCCTTGTCTCGAACGACCGCATCAGGGCCAGCCTTTGATCGCCCGCCACGTACTCAGCCTGCACCTCATCATCCGTGGTCTCCTCCTTTTGCTGGTCATTAAAGAAAGCCATGTCGTCGTCGTCGTTGCTGCTCTCCTCTCTCTCGGACAAGGATATGGGATTTGCTACTGCGCGCTACGACCAGGCCTGCTGTGAATGCACGCGCTCGCGGCAGGTAGAGATATCGATGAATGCCGGCGTAGGGGACCGAAAAGGGAATGAAGTCGCGAACACGTGGATCGGACGTTGCGGTTTGTGCGAGGTTTTGGCGGGTCGGTGTTGAATGTTGGGTTGGAGGCAGGCAGGCGGACGTAGACCTGTGTGCAGGGAGAGCCGTTCCGCTTGCAAGTTGCATCACATCATCACGGTATGCAAGGAAGGGATCTGGATCAAAGGATTGATGCCTCTTGTCCGGGAAGGTCTAACGTGTGTAGTGGCACCATACGAGTGCAACGTGTCCTGGCTGCGCACCTGAACGGTTGCCCAGTGGCAAGTTGCAAGTTGAAGGCGCGCTGCCCACAGGGGCATAGAAGCGAAAATTTCAAACTTCGTGGCGCAGCATGTACCATACCTGAGCCAGAACGGAGTAGTGTTTGCACATTGATAGTAGATCTTTAGGACTAACGCGTTCTGATTGGTCGGGCGGTGTTTGGCGTTGGTTCTGGCGGCCGATTCTCGATTCCTCTCCAGTGCCCTCTCCCGGTTCCGCCAGCCGCGTGCCGCGCAGTTCGCAGGCGCTAGGCCGTGCTTTGGCCGTGGGTGAGGGTTGGGGCAAATGTGGGGTGAGCAACCTAGCCTTGCTTGCGTGAAAAACTTTGCCTTGCTACGTTCAACATCGGTTGGTCCTAAAGATTTTCTATCGTGTGTGTGTGTTTTCGTCCTATTTTTTATGGCGACACAGTAGTTGAGTGTGTGGAAAAACGAGTAGTATGCGCCGCGCCAAGTAGATGGAGGGAAGGAGTGGTTGTGAACTTGTTTAAGAAAGGAGACAATACTGACCAAGGAAACTACAGGGGGATCACACTGTTGAACACAGAAGGAAAAGTGTTCTGTAAGCTGCTGAACGATAGGATAGTGGGAGTATTGGAGAAGGAACATACATATTTAGCAACTGGCATACGGTTTAATGTGAAGTCAACAACAACAACAACAAATACATAGCACTACTAGTGAGGGCCAGGCAGGTTTCCGCAAGAAGAGGGGGTGCGTAGACCACGTATTATTCACGGTAGGGAGAATCATCCAAGGTAGAAAAAAGGCGGGAAAGCCGACGTACTGCTTCTTCCTGGACGTGAAAAAGGCATACGACACCGTATTATGGAGAAATGGGTTGAGGAAACAACTGTCCAAATACGGGATCAAAAAAAAGGAAAATACATGTGGAGAGTGTAAGATGACAGAATGTACGAAAAGCGCGGTCATGGTAGACGGAGAACGGTCAAAATTCTTCGACATTGAGCAGGGGGTCCCACAAGGTTGCACGCTGTCCCCAACATTGTTCCAGGTGTTCATCAACGATCTGTTGGAAGTCGTAGAGGCAGTCCGGAAGGGAGTAAAAGTAGGGGACACGGAAACGTCGGTTTCAGGAATGCTGTTTGCGGATGATTTTGTCGGTATGTCGGACACCCCTGAGGGACTGCAACTGCAAATTGACGCGGCGAAGAAGTTTACTGATAAGTGGAGATTGTCTGCCAACGTTCAGAAGAGTGCCGTCATGGTATGCAACGAGAACAAGGAGAAACCAGTAGAACGCAGATGGAAGTGGGGGGATCGAGGAGATTGCAGTAGTGGACCAGTACACATGTGTGTAGTCTACTGTGTTTCTATTTTTCATGGCCTCCCTGCCTACTCTGCTGTGTTGGGTACCTTGATCTCCACGAGCAGGGAAGCTGCACCCAAT